CAATTCAAACCTGTGTGTTGGCAGATTTTAACAATGCGGTTTTTTAACAAACACCATTCATTTTTTTCACAAGCACCTTGGGCTTTCGGATGATAAACAGCTCCTAAACGTTGTTTAATTCCCAATTTTTGCAGAATTAGTCTTACTGTTTTATCCACGAACTCTTTCCCATTATCTGAGGATATGCGGTCTGGGAGTCCCCACCTGCTTATAACCTCCGACACAAAACTTGAAACTTGGCAGCAGACTGAGCATCTTTTCCGCTTGGTTGGACAGGCCTCGGGCCACCTTGAAAATCTGTCCACAACAACTAACATGTATCTTTTACCTCCTACCGGTCTTATCATGTCAACAAAATCCACAACTACTCACGCATAGGACCTGTTCGTTGGAATTAACCGGAGGAACCATCACACCCCTACGACGTTGTTTTTTAGACAGATAGTACACCTGCCTTATACATAATCAATCTGCTCATGCAAATACAGTACCCAAAAACCATATTCTTTCTTAATCTTTCTCCTAACTCCCCCCTTTGCACATGGCTAAACCATGTGCTCCTAAATCACAGACCAGCAGTCTAACAATTTCCTTCATCTGAGCATTCACTTATCTCTCTACTTCCTGAACCTTCACTATTCTACCTTACAAATTCCTTCAACATAAATCTAACTCCTTGACCTTTCCTGTAAACAACAGAAAAGTCCTCTCCAACCTCAACATCTCTCTATACTCCTCTCTGAAACCTCTCTTAAAGCGCTTGCATCCATCATCTTCCACCCTGAACCGGCTGCTAAGGGTAAAGATATGAAGAACCTTCTCTCTCTGAGTCTTCATCATCATTGCTCACATCTGTGTCGTCCTTTCCTGGATCCACTCTTCTTATTGCTTGTCTCCTTTTTTCTCCGCTTTAGCCAACATCCGTCTTACTGCTGGGTCATATCCACCAACAGCTTCATCCGAATCACTCTCACTGTCATCCTCTATGTCCAGTCGTCTGAACTGCTGACCACTCCAACTTCTCAAACGGGTCTTTTTATGTTTGCTGTCGGAGCTTGGGTACATTTCTATGGTCGTTGTAGCCTTTCCCTTCTCGATTATTTGTTCATCCTCGTCTGTGATGTGATAGTTGCCCTTCTGTATAATCACTGGGAGCTGGGGTAAACATCATAAACTTCACTTCCTTCTCATAAGGCGGGGCTTCTTACTAAGGCAGTATGTGAGAAGGGTGTGTTAACCTTCTCCATTAACTTACCCACTGCCTTATCATTTTTCTGTATTTCTTGCATACCGCGGCCTCTTTTTTCATTTGCAGCTTCTAACAGTTTCTGTCCTTCATTTTCAAACAACTGCAGAACTCCAAGCTCAGTTTGTCTTTTCTCCATACGCCTTTTTCCCTTTTTCCCCTTCTTCTGCTTTACCTTGTATATAGACACAAGTACCTGTATTGTTTTGATCACATTCCGGGTTCAAAGTCCCCTCCTACTGGCCAAGCGCTGTCAATGTCAGGCCAACGCTTACTCATTTTTCTGATATTTTTGGAATATCTTTAACAAGAGGATTAGTCTTCTGTACTACATCAACAGAAGTGATTGATTTTGTAATTTTGGTGTCCATCTTTGACATTACAATGACCCTCTTAGTTCCTCGTATTGTTAAGTCAAACTATTTAGAAAGTACTGTTACCACACTTGAAAGTGAATGAATTTGCCAACCCCAAAGGAGACCAAAGCCTTCTTACTATAAAAGCAAAAGCACTTCTTATCACTAGTGCATCTAATCACACTTATTTATCTTAAAATTATGGAAATAATGTCAATGTTCCATCTCAAAATAGCCCAGGTCAAGCTAGACCATACTCAGACAATGAAACCAGCATTCACAGCACTCAACTGCATTTGAATCAAATCAACTTTTCCATAAATGATCAATCAAATCAAAAATACTCCATTATTGACCAAATGCTTCAATTAGTCAGTCTGTTGCCAAGACTTCCTCCTATATAATTGTAATGTGATACATAGAAGAAACAATGTAAGCCTCTATGCGAAAACAGACTAAGCATGTATCAAAGATGTTGACTATAAAAAATGTGTATACACAGATAGAAAAGTTCAGGTGTTTGTTGAAAGAGTTTGTGGATAAACCGCACTGGCCTTGATCAAGCTGGATTCAGGATCCCTACATGCTGTCATCCGCAAGCTTCCAGTGTTTGTGAAGTACCCCAGTCTCTCTCATCTGCCTTTTTGGACTGATCCAGTTCAGACACAATCCATCTGTCTGTCTTCCCTTTAGCTCTCACACAGCATAGTAGAGAGAAACAGAGAAAACAGAAGAAAACAAAACAAAAGTTAATCACTCTGAATCCATATAGACAATGCAATAACAATTCAGTGAAATATGCACACATTATCTGTAATCTTTATCTATATATATTTTTTTTTATCTATTGCAAAGGCTGTCTCCCTACTGGGGTGTGTTTTTCCTTCCCTCTGTGTCCCACAGAGAGAAAGAAGGAGGAGAGGGGCTCTCTCCACTCCCTTCAGGAGTAAGCTAATTGGCTTTCTATGTGAGGCAACGCCTCTTGGACCCGCCTCCTAATTTTAGCAAGGGCAGCTTCCAGTCTACCTGGCTGTCAAAGGGTTAACATCGTCTCCAAACCCTATGGTCCAAACCTAGTGCATTTAATGCACAGACAAGCGCATCTCACCCGTGGGTGTTGTGGGTGCTGTGACACCCTACTTTCACTAAAATGTACACTTTTTACTAGTGAGTCATTAAAAGAAAACTTATCGGTCAAGTAAGATTTATTAAGTGACAACTAAGCCAATCATATCTATTTGATTACAGTTGAAGCACAGTAAGGTTACATTTGCATTTAATCCTCCTGTCACTCATCACTGAGTCAGAGCTCAGAGCTTCACACATGGAAACATGCTGCATGTAGCATCCTTCTGAAAGAGAGTAGTCACCCAAACAGAGGTTTTTTAAGATAAATCCACCTCAACAAAACAACTAAGTGTAACATTTTCTCCTCTTGTTGTTATTTTAGCTGTATGTATTTACTCCCATAACTTTACGATGTAGCAGAAGTCCCCTTTGCAGTTTTTCTAAATAAAAGCACATTTTATGTGAAGACCGGAAATAAAGAGACTGAGGCGTAAGGCAATAAGAAAAGCAAAATAATGGCATCACAAAGAACCGTTTTGAATCTGATTTCTAGAGCTAACTCGGTTACTCACAATGGATGTTCATAAAGTTAGTGTCTAATTATCTTTTGTAACTTTGTCTTGTTATATGATGTTTCAGCTAAACTTAGTTATTGGACATTAAATGAAACAGAATGTGTTGATTTCCTAGAGGGTGGTAATATACTAGCACAGAACACACACACTTCTAAGATCACTGCTCCACCCCTGTGCACAGAGTCTACGCACACAGAAATCAGCACAGTATCCTCCCAATCAACAGCCAAAATTGCCGATAGACGACAGAAACAGCTCCACAATATGTGCAGCAAAAAAAGAAAGAAACACTTACGAAGTGTTGGAAATAATGAACAAGCTGTGGTCCACTGAAGAAGGCCCCAACTGATCCTGTTCGTGACGCCAAAATTGATGTGGATTTCCTTGTTGTTGATATGTTTGATGATGAAGAAATTCGCCGTTGAGACTGACTTGCTTTCAAAGAGTATAATTTTATTTAAGCAAGAAACAGAATCACTGGTCACGTCTGACCAGGAGGATCAAGAAGCCAATAATGATCTCTGTCGAACACACAGAGACAATTGCTTATATGCATCTAAACATCTGCTTTCCGTCATGGGTCATAAAAACATCAAGTTACACAACCATATATGGCAATACTCCTATACAACACCTCAATTTAAACATTCCACCTAAGGGGACTCCTAAATCTCCTTCAGATACTACTCCAGACGCACCCATTGTAAACTTATATTATCTCTGTCCTGTTACATCAGACACTTCATCGTTGATTTCATAAAACTCATAAATTCATAAACTGCTTTTTCTCCAACCAGGTCAATGATTAACTGTGTGTTACAGAACAGTTAATCATTCACATATATGGATGTTGATTAGGAGTTTTGTTTTCCACTTTTGGCTTGTCTTCAGTACAGTAGAGAATATTTGGTCTGACAGGCTCGAGCTTGACATGCAGGCTCGATCAGAATTTAAGATTTTAAAGGCATGCGAGGCGGTTTCTCTGAGAACTCGGTTGTGAAAAAAGTTAAATAAACCAAACCTCACAAAAGGGCCTATCACAGCCTGCTCTGTTGCCTCCGACCAGTTTGATGGATGTCTGGCATTCCTGAAATGTTTGTCTTATGACTACATACTCTCACACAGTGAATGAAATTCCCAAACTTTTTTGTTCTCCTGATTGCGCCTGCGCAGACTGGCAGAGAGTGTCTGAAAGCACCATGGCAACAGCAAGCACGCCTGTTTTTATGCCTCTAACCCCTCCTAGCACAACATATATGAATAAAAGAAACGTTGGCAGGAAATAGTTGCATTTCCTTAAAACACACACACACACACACACACACACACACACACACACACACGGATTAAAAGTATTTCATGATTCTAACCCTTCACTAAAGACATGGAATGTGAAGAGGGAGTAAGAAGGAGGCTGATAAGCTGCCAAAAGCTACAGTTATTGCGTGGGCTAAATCATCACATTATACACTTTTGTCCTTCATAAATCAACATCAGAGACTCCGTGGTGTCGGAACGGTTCCCAATGTGGTTACTTTAAGACAACAGAGCCTGACCTGGACCCCTTTTACTCCTGTTGTCAGCGATATATCAGTCTTTGTTGACATTTTAAACTTGATTGGAGCTTGTTTACTTGGTAGATTAAGGGTGAACAAAGCGCTTACAGTTTCTTTTAAATCACAGTGATACAAGCTTTACCTGGTTATGTACATGGATGTTTGCATTAGGAAAAGTTAAAATGCTGATGCGGGCTCAAGCAAACAAGAAGTGTTGATTTCAGTGGTCGTCAGTAAGAGTGGTCTTGGTTTCTCCTGCACAGAGAGATGAAGAGAAAAAGAAAGGAAAAGGGAGGGTTAGTAACAAACTTATTACCTTGTTTGGTTGTTTGAATTTGCAACAGTTTTTGATGCCACTTGTTTTAAAATAAGACAATCTGAGAATCCTTAATGATGCATTGTATCAAAAAGTATTGAAGCTTTAATAAAAACTAAAGACCTTCAGTCACAAGCTGTTTTCACATCTGCCTGAAAATCTATATGCACGGTGCAGCAGTCACAGTATATAAACGTCACTCCCCCCCTCCTATTGGCTTGAGCTGAATTCTCCTGATTATATCCTGCTGCGTTTTCACATCAGCTCACTCGGCTGTGGAGAAAAATCTGGCAGGTGGCAAGTGTTGAAGCCCTAATATTTTGAACACAAAGCTGCAATGGCTCATTCAAATTCACACTCGTGTGTCATGAAGATGTAATGATTTTTATGTCTAACAAAACAGACAGCAGAAGTGGTGACTGTCTAAATTGCACAAACACATTGCTGCCAATGTATTATGTGCAATTTCAGACAATGTGCAGGAGTTTGCTGTACATTTTTGGCAATAAAAAATGGAAATTCAACCAAAATTGTGCACTTGGGACTAGGTATCGAAACTTTTTTTTTTTAATGTCGTCTAATTCTTACTAGAATTATATTGACGTTTAAATAGTGACAATCCAACTCAAATGTTTGAATTATATTTACCTGTAGTCAGACTTTCTTGAACATCTCCCTCCGTTTCCTGATCATCTCTGAAAAACAGATGAAATGTTAGAGTGTGAATGAAGATTAAATCGTGACTTTAAACACAAAGACGTTCTCGAGACTCATCTTCTCATCACTCCTCTGTAGAGAGAATAAAAATGGCCACCTGTGCTAAAGTTTTTTTTAGTCTGGGGTGGAGTCCATGTGTGGAGATATCAGGGGAGGGTTTTATTTATATTTTACCAGAATCCACTGTGACATCGCAAGGAGAGCACATTTGAAACAGAGCATTTCCCTCTGTGTTGTAAGACTTATGCAGACCACAAATAAAGGACTGGATGGGTTTATTTCACATTTTGTGGGTCAGTAGACACTCAGGTTACCCAAATATATGTTCAAAAACACTGTACAAGAGGATTTTTTCATAACACAGTATGTCCCCTTTAAGGTCTTACAACAATGCATTTGCAAAGTCCAGGATGCAGGACAGCATCCAACATCCTCCTCTGGTGCAAAATGACATAGGTTTCAATATATTAATACCATTTTGAATTTCAAGAGATTTAAAGTTAAGATGGCTAAATGTTAAATAAACAAGAATGCATTTTCAATGGTCAGTTTTTGGATTCAAGCTGCCATGTTAAATATACAGATATATATTTAATGGTACTCACGCTGAGATCGTCTTTTTTAAAGTAGCAACCCCACGATCAGAGACCCGACGACCAACACAGAAGCCACTATCATGGTGTCCAAAATCATGTTTGAGTCTTTGGAGCCTTTGGTGCCTTCGGCGCCTTGTCCATGCCCTGAATAAATCAAATAGAAGAAAATAAAAAGTTACAGATGTAATACTTCACATGGATATAAAGATAGAACAATATTTGGAACCAGGTTGGCGTGTCATGCAGTGGTGGGAAATTCCCCCTGTGATACTTTTAGCTGCAAACATCCACTATCTCTTTCTCTCTAGGGGAGGGGGGGGGTCTGAGTTAATGATCTGCCCTCCCAGACAAAGTAGAAAGTAAAGACAACGCCTGGAGGGGATTTTGGTGTTGCAAACGCGCGACTGTCGACTGCAAAACAGATATTAATCAGCTGATGATAAGTGACCGTTTACTGCATTCAGCAGATGTGGGGACTTGTAACAGCTCGGCTAAGGTCACTGCACAGATATCAACGACCCAGTTCATGAGTTTTCCCGTCAAAGAGTATGAACAATGGATCAAAACTTTCATGAAATCAAGAAGCTTGACCCCCCCATGGTTTAGAGAAAGTACTGGGTCAAACTTGGAGACTTATTGATGTCTTACAAGATGGAAGGAAACAAAACTGAAGCAACGTGGGAGGGAAAGTTGCTCCGACTTGTTTTTTTAAGGAAGCTTCAGCCTCTTTGTGGTTTAATGTTTACAAGTTCAGTCTGAGCTGCCAAGATTTTCTTTTCCCCTGCATAATCAAAACACTCCTGGGGATATTTTGCTCTTTGGACTCAGCTCTCATAATTAAAATAACAGTTAGTGTTCAAATCAAGGGTGCTGCCAAATAAGCCCTAAGGTTCACCCAGGTTCTTCATATTCTAGAAACAAACAAACACCTGCAAATCCGATTTGATAACGCTGAATATTCACCCTTCTTTAACATCTTGATTTATAGAAATATGTCGTTTTCAGGAACGTCTTTATTCAGCTTCTGGCAGCCTGATTCTGTGTTTTGAGTTTGTATCGGACTCAACAGTTTCCATCTTCGACATCTATAGCCGCCTACAACAGGGCGTGTCTAAAAAGGGTTGGCGTGGGCCCCCTTGAAATCTGATTGGCCACCCCTGGTGCCTGGTGAACGGCTAGGTCGGGAGAATCTCCGTAGCGGTCCTCCTGCAATTATCTAGATATCATCTGGAGTGCATATGTGAAAACAGCTTTAGTGAGTACAGCAAAGTCTGGACTGTTCAGTGTTTGTGCTGACGGGTGAGATAAGGCCGGGCCGGCTACCTGAATGAATAAATTTAAAAAAAAGGGAACCTACAAGTCACCATCATTCATGTCTTCAGTTACAAGATTTTGATTGCTAGGCCTCAATCATTTCCTCAGATCAATTCTATGTCCATATCGTACCCTGTTCCATTATTCACCATGTACCTTAATAACTTATCATTTAGTATTTGCCTACTTGCACATAGTTCTGTATATATATATTTATTTCTCGTTTACTGCATATAGTTCTGTTTACATCTGTTAGTCCGATCACTGTCCACTTATATCTACTTTTTTATATTTTGTGTTTTTAAGTTAAGTTTAAGCTTTAAGTTTTATTTAAATTGACACTTTCTATTTAGGTTAAAATGTTTCGTTTACTTGCACTGTTGTTAATTTGCTGCTCTGTGTGCCTTTGAATTGCCCCAAGGGGACAAATAAAGTTTTTTGAATTGAATTGAATTGTACTTCTGATAAATCATCCTGGCGTTCCTCCCTCTATGACGGCCCCCTGGGTTCAAGTTCCTCTTAGTTGAGCGATCCTTAAAGAAGACCAGATTGCTTAACGGCATTGACGTCGGTGTTGCTTCAAAAAAATGTTTTGAATGACATAACATGTGACTGTAGCTAAAAGAAATCTGACAAAAAGTACCGGTTGTTGTGTGAAGAAGGAAACGAGTATCATGTGTGGTGCTCGACAACGGATACCTTCGGCCGATGATTTGTTCTGCACTGTGAAAGATTTCTCCGCCTCTTCGTCTCCTCTGGCGTTGAACACTTTGCAGGTGTACTTGGAGAAGGCAGATCCTCACTGTATTTTCAGCGTGCTTGAGAGGATAAACAGACCATTCTTTGTCTTCAGCACCTTCACCTCGGGTTGCTCTAACCAAGGCTTGTTGTCTTTATCAAACCAGCTGAGTC